TGTGTGTGTGTGAGTGCACACGCACACGTGTATGTCTGTGTGTCTGTGTGTCTGTCTGTGTGTCTGTCTGGCTGTCTGTTTGTCTGTCTGTCTGTCTCTCTCTCTCTCACACTCTCTCTCCCACTCTCTCTCTCTCTCTCTCTGTCTCTGTCTCTCTCTCTCTCTCTCTCTCTCTGTCCCTTGCAGTCAGTTGAAAGATGGTGACCGATAACGTGATATTGTGTGTCGTGTAAACAATTCCAAACGGCAACATATTGCAAATTGCCAATCCATAAATCATCCTTCTAGCCTGCCTTCAGCAAATCATTCGTTTCGTATAGTATTCCATTGATTTCTACAACAGGTTTTAGTTGGCAGAGCAATTGGATACGTTCTGCATTGCATGGAATTACGTTTTTGTAACACTGAAGCCGAACGAAAAATGACATGTTTGGAATGGTTGGCATAAGAGACAGGGGTTATCAAACTAAGGGCCGTGAGATAGATCTGGCCTACGATGTAGGTTCGTGTTTGGTCCACTGCAAAGCTAGATCTACCAGGCAGGGGAAAACCCAAACAAAATCAAAACCAAAATTTTTAATTAAAAAAACACACTCAACACCTAAGAAGAGGTATTTGTAGCGTACTAAGGACTTGGTCACACCAAAATAGTTAAGTCATTTCAAGAATTTCGACAGGACATATTAAATGTACTTTTATAACTTCTGGCTTCTTACCTTTGTTGTATTATTTGTGTGGAAACACGGTGGAATCAGGAGCTTGTCAATTTTGGGGCATGTGTAGCTTTTAATAGTAATACCTAAAAGCTTGGACATTAGTCTCGCTTTTAATGAAAAAAGTATCCATCTATGGTAAATTTAGATATCTAGGTCGAAACATTTGCAATTGGAGAAATTGAGGTGGCCTGGCTTCAGAGGTAAATATAGCGAGGAAATGGTCGCCAAAGTTTGGAGACTTGCATAACTTAATCCTTTGAAACTGAAATTTGCGTATTTTGTGTCTTTAACTAAGGTTTTTCAGTAAAATCAACAGAAAAAGTGGTTTAAAGTGGACATTAAAGGTGTTCAGTCAAAACACACAAATTCGATAAAAATTGTCAAACCAACGGAATATTTGCCTGTTTCTTCGATCTCATTATTTCGACGAGCGCCTGATTTTACCACGATGCCTCACATTTGTGTGTGGGGGATTGGGGGGGGGGGTTGCGTGTATTTATTTTGTATATGGTTATTAATCAATAGTATCATTTGCATGTGCTTTATAAATCTTTTGTAAAAATTCAATTTCTAAACTAAATGTTGAAAATCAAAACCACGGATAATATTATGATAAAGTACTGCACTATTTATTTTAAAAAATGAAACCGTAACTGTTTTTTTGGTCATTTCTCCTCAACAAAAAATTGTTTCCTGGGATAAGAACATTAATTTTGGACAGTTTACTGACGATATTGAAAATAAATTGTCCTATTCAGTTGTGTTGTTGTTGTTGTTGTTGTTGTTGTTGTTGTTGTTGTTGTCATAGTTGCTGTTGTTGTTATTATTATTCTTGTTGTTATTATTGTTGGTGCTGTGGTTATTGCTGTTGATATTGTTGTTGTTGTCGTTGTTGTTGTTATTGTTGTGTTGTTGTTGCTGTTGTTGTTATTGTTGTTGTTGTTGTTGTTTCAGTCGTTTTCGTCGCCGCTGGTATTGTCATTGCAGCTGCTGAGTTGATGTTGCTGTTGTTCTCATTGTAGCTGTTCTGTTGTTATCGTTGTTGTTGTTATTGTCGTAGCAACGTTTTTCCCAATATTCTTTTGTGAAATGCAAAGTGGCTCAGAATGTATAAGAATGACTTGAGACAAAACGGACACGCGCACGATTAATTTCAAGCTACCTGCCCGTAAAGAGCTTTTAACGATTATTCAAATCAATTCTCGACGAAAGGCGAGCCAAATAGTTCACAGAGCAGGTGTCGCTTTGTAAGTATTCTAAACATTTTTTCTTTGCCACCTGGCGGGATAAAGCAGCCATGCGATTGGCTACAGCCATGCTTCGTTTAACCATATAGGCCAGATTTGCATGAAACATTCTAATGAGAGTATGTTAATGATGTGTGAGTCATATCGTGAGCCTGTCGGGTCGGAAGGTCACTGACTACTCATGTGTGCAGGAACGCACCTGAGGGAATACATAATTTACTGACGCATACACAAGCGCGCCCGCGCGCGCGCGCACACACACACACACACACACATACATACACACACACATACACACACATACACACACATCTATCTATCTCTCTATCTCTCTATCTATCTATCTATCTATCTATCTATCTATCTATCTATCTATCTATCTATCTATCTATCTATCTATCTA